AACTCATAGTATTGACATCATGTTCTCTCAGTCTCTTAAAAAAATATTTTTTAAATGTATCAATTGAAAAATTGAAAGAAACTACAGTAGTGCCTTGTGAGACGCGTAAATCGGTGACGCGCGATTTTAAATCTTAACCTATATAGGTATGACGAGTTTCGAGAGTCTAGACAGTAGTAAAATTAAGCAATTTGCATGATAAACGATATGAAGAAACAAATAAAGTAACAGTATGTTTTATGGTGTATTATTCCGGTTATGTGTGACCAAAGCATTGTTCATGGAATCTGAAGAATTATGTCTGGGTAAAGCGTAGCTTATACATATATTGTTTAGGGCCTATTCACACAACTTTTAACGCAATATCGACGTTGGTACTTCGCTATCCCAACGCGTTTGTTGATATAATCGCTATAATAAGCGTTTTTTTAATTTCGTCAGTGAAGAGTATACGCTGACGACGTATATTGATGATACGCGCGTTGTCGGTGAGTTTATTACAACATATGGTGTGTTAAAACCTTTACTTATTTTGAAATGTAAAATATTTGGAAAGCAATAACTTTCGTAGTTTGATGAAACGTTATTACATTTATTGTTGTAGTTATATTCTCGCATAGTCGGTTGTTCTATAGTATATTGACCTATGACATTCTGTAGGTAAATGCTCTTTGTCCCACAGAAAAGAGCTATTCATGTAATTTATGACCTAGGCCTTAGGCTGTTTACCGAAATAAAATTTTAAATATACTTCTCAATATGTATGTGAAAATGTTAGGAATGTCCGCTAAAGTCTTAATAATTTTTCTCAGAATATGAGAAATAACATTAACCACACCGACAGCTTAACTGCCTCGTTAGACTAAGCTTAATTATTGAGTACTAGCCACTCGCCCTCGCTTCGCTCGGGTTCGTCCCTAGGTTGATTCTCCATACAAACTTTCATCCCCATTTTCACCTTCTTAAGGGGTGATTCTCGGAATAAAAAATATCCTATGTCCTTCTCTGGGTCTCAAAATATCTTCTTACCGAATTTCATCTAAATCAGTTTAGTAGTTTTTGAGTTTATTCGTTACAAACATACAAAAATACAAATCTTTCCTCTTTATAATAGTAGTGTAGAGATAGATTTCTGTCAAGAAACTGGAGTTGGCGGTGTCCTTCGTCGTCTCGGAGAGGTCTGATCTCTCACTCTTAGCTTCGAATTGCCGTCCCACCGGAGTATGAAAGGTACAGGAATAATACTAGATATAATATCTTCCGCACAGCGATGACTGATATCAGTGAGATTGGCCGCCAAGACCGAAATCGGTCAGGAGTACATTATTTTGCTTATATTATAGTGCATTATGTAAGATGGTACATTTGGCGGCTTATCTGACTACTATTACAAATGTGAAAGTTCGTACTTTTGTCTGTTTGTTACTCCTTCAAGCTAAAACGTATTTGGATGTGTAATACACAAATAGAATACCATATGGAGTAATAAATTATATTTAAGCTACTGTTAGGCACCTAAAGATGCACCCGAGTAAAGCAAGGGCAATATGGCTGGTATATTATAAATAAAAAAAACATATGTAAAGAAAAAAAAATTTTACAGACCATGATTATAATCGACCATAATTATAATCATTTTGAATCATTAATCATATTGTCAGTTACTAATTTATTATAAGGCGTATTTCCGGCTTAAACTGTGGGATTCACTTCACATGTAATTATTTCTAACGATCGTCGATCACTAATGAAGGACTAACTATGTAATATGTATATAGATACACAAACTCCTGCATTTCTCATAAAACTATCACCAATTGTGTTTAGGTAATTCTACTTGAAATAAATATATAATGATGTAAATTCAACCTTAAATTTCAATTCACAAAATTATGTATAAAAAGATTTGTTTCCGATCAAGACTCGCTGGTCAAAATACATCCAAACTTAATTTACACATTGTTTTTACGATGATTTCTTGACAATACAGTGATAACAATTATATAATGATAATATTAATAATTACCGAAAATAAGAAACTCCCATCTTTTTTTAGCATCCTAGAAGTGTACTGTTTGATATTTGCAATTTTAAAACGAGCATTTACCGTCGGAGCGTTCGAAAGTTATTAAAAGCGCATCCAAATGTTCAAGTGGGCGCTCATTCGGTAAAGATACTTTTTGTCGCTGATTGTGTATCTAGTTCTTTATTAGTGATTAATGTTCACCGATTAATGTTGACCAATGAAAAGAGATTATAAGTCCAATCTCTGATATAAAATTTAATCATAGCAAACGTTCATTTTGCTGTTTGTGGCTGCAGATTCGATTTCTGTAGATTTATCAAGAATTGTATGTTGTATTAAAAAATAATTAATATAAAAATAAATTCTAACTGTAATATCTATTAAAAACTTTGTTAGTACATATGTGAAATCCGAATTATATAGAAAAACTTAATACTATCGAGGTGATCTGATAAAAGATCTAGGAAGTGGATAGTGGATCTCTTCAATGGCTTTTAGACATTACATTGCTACCTTCGAGTTCAGGCCGATTTGTGACGTTTTGCGAGTCCCTTACTTCATTTTATAAAAAACTTATTTTTATAATATTTAATCTATGATTAGTTATTTAACTGGACTAGACGGTAATAAACACGCAGGCGGATTCGTCGACAGTAACTAAGTATATGTCAATAATGTCTTATTGACTAAGTGCTACAGGAAAACAAATTACACCTTTTCAAGCGGAAAAATTCATAACAAATTTATTCAGCGCACGTACTCACTTCGCAACACTGCTAATTATGCTAATAATCCCATGCGTCCCCATCCTGTACATATAGCGTAAAGTGTATAGATCTCAAAGCGTATCAATCGACTCATTAATCAATGAAGTTGTGGCTAATTTAGTATGGACTGTGTTTCCGGCTAAACCTGTAGGTTTTGCCTGCTTATTCCACTTCACTATCACTAACGTCAATTTGCACTATCATGGATCTTCTGTTAATTATCTGGTATGAACCATTCAAGACGATTATTGATTACATTATAGCAAAGTACGGTTTGTGTAAAGTTTCATTTTGAAAACTAACATTGCCCGCGGCTCCGCCCGCGTTGTAATGACCAAAAACCCAATTTTTTGGTTTTACATATTAGTATAGTACTCTTACATTACAGTTTTAGTATTTTTTCTCAGAAATGAGCTATTTTCCGCGGTAAAAAGTAGCCTATATGTTGACCCGGATAACCAGCTATCACCATACCAAATTTCATCAAAATCCCTCCAGTGGTTTTTCCGTGATGCGGTAACAGACAGACACACAGACAAAAATTCTAAAAACGATATATTCGGCCTCTGTATCGATAATAATGTCTATTTCAATAAGATTTTCCAAAAAATATTTAATGTACCTACAGATTCGGCTTAGTTAGAATTTTATTATAATATGTATACCTAGATAAAATAGGCAACTTAATCTATTTTTACGGACTATATAGTTGTTACAGATACTAGGTACCTACTGTCTGTAACAGCTATACCTATAATGACCTTTGAGGCGTCTAAAACGTTAGTCTCTTCCTTGTCCATGATTACTGTACGGCATTCGAAAACTTCGGGAACCAAAAATCAAAATAAATCCGAAAAGATAGTTTTATATAACTGTCAAATATTTGCGTAAATCTAAAAAAAGTATTACAAGGTAAGAGGTAGGTATGCACCTATGAATTTTGGTTTTAATTGGTATCAAGCTAATTGACGTACTAGTGATCGTTCAGGGCTTTGGTTGTGGTACGTAATTACAATAAACTTGCTTATGAATAAAAAAATCGGACAAGTGCAAGCTTGACTCGCACACGGAAGGAAGGTGATGACGCATTAAGTTTAAGTTTTGAATTAACATACTAATTTGTTACGTTAAAAGTAAAAATTTACCCATCTTACTAATATTATAATTAATGTGCAAGTTTATATGTTTGGATGGATTTTTGTTACTAAATCACAGAAACAAATCTATCCCACGGGAACTGTACATTTTTCCGGGATAAAAAGTAGCTCATGTTCTATTCTAGACTATAATCTATATGTGTGCTAAATTTCATCCAAATCCGTTCAGTCGTTCTGGCGCGATTGAGTAACTAACATCCAAACATCCATCTACGAGTAAGCTTTTACATTTATTATATTAGTAAGATTTATTAAGCAAAAAACATATAAAAGACAGGACAAAAAGAGGAAAGAAAAAAAAACTCTAAAAATATAGGTTTCATACAAACTTTCATCCCCTATTTTACTCTCTTAAGGGATGAATTTCGAAAAATGCTAAATTATATATTTCTTTAATTGTATTGAAGAGCATTAATACCAAGTTTCAAGTAATTCTGATAATAAATAATTTTTTTGGTTGTCTTATATCGTGTTTTCCCGTGGGAGTGAGATAATCTCCGGTGATAAAAAGTAGCCATGTCACTCACCAGCCTCCAACTATCTCCACACAAAAAATCGCGCCAATCCGGCACTCCATTTCGAAGTGAAAGAAAGACAGACAAACAAACAAACAAACAAACAAACAAACACACTTTCACATTTATATTATTAAGTATGGATATTTAAGTATTTTTCCACCTCGTGATGCGCTAGTAGCGCCATCTAAGCTGCTTTTGGTAAATCTTTCCTGAACTAATTTTCAAAGTATAAGATTAAATATTTTATAGTATTTGACGAGGTTTTAAAAAATGTTAGTAGAAAGTTTTGGAATATTTTTTTAAATTATTACCTACTATTTCTTATAATATTTAAACACAAAAAACTGTTAACATGCTATATAATTGAAATGACGTTGACTTTTGACAATGTCAGCCGTCATCTCAATCATGTTGTCACTTGTCAACTGTTATTTGTTAAATATTTCCGCTTAGGTTATACATAATATTTGCCGAAAAATATTTAAAACCCATATTTTATTGTAAATAAAGATTTTTATGAATTAAAAAAGCAATGGCTAGCAAGCCTAATTCGAAGAGAACGATATATGTGGGTGGGTTAGCAGAGGAAGTTGATGAAAAGGTATTAAATGCAGCGTTTGTGCCCTTTGGTGATCTTGTTGATGTTCAAATACCTCTTGATTATGAGACAGAAAAGCACAGAGGTTTCGCTTTCATTGAATTTGAAAACGCTGAAGATGCTGCAGCGGCGATAGATAATATGGTATGAATATTTTTTTGAATATAGTCAAAACAATTTTATAACCAACTATAAGTTTTACTTGTGATTCATTTATGTAAACTTTTTTTTCAATTATAATCTTACAAAATATATTATATGTGTACTATATGTTTGTGTGTTGTTAGCTCATAAACAAAACTGGGTAAAAAGTATCATTAAGTGATGGTTTTGTTGATGGTCTGCATAACATAATCATCAACATTACAAGATTTTCAATAATTTTATATTGGTTAGAAAGATTAATGTGAGAAAGATTATTCCTATCGAATCAAATTATAAATAATATATTTTTAAAATATAGTTTAGTTAACATTATTTCTAGAATGATTCAGAACTATTTGGACGTACCATTAGAGTGAATATTGCAGCACCACAAAGAATCAAGGAAGGTTCAACACGAGCTGTTTGGTCCGAAGACACCTGGTTACAGAAGCATGCAGGTGAAACTTTGAATGTCGACAAAGACAGTGAGGAGACAAAACAAAAAACAGATTCAGATACAGTGAGAAATTACTCTTACCTTTTTGTATTATTTCATTATAATTAAATAAAGTTAGATATTAATAAATAAGGAATTGAAGGGCTATCCAGTCATGGGTGTTTATATTAAAAATATTTATGTATTTAAAGTTATATATATGTGTAGTGTATCAAGTATCCATAACACAAGCCTCGTAGCTTACCATGGAACTAGATGGTGATGTGTGTTAATGTCAAAACATTGGTAAACTTTTTGGCTTGTTCTTTGGGTTGAAACATTCTTTCATAAAAATATTAAGGCTCTTTAATATAGCCTATATTTAGCATCTCATTGTTGGGCATGGGCCTCCTCATTGAAGAATGCGAGGGATAAGGAGCTGTACTTTTCTCTGGCCAAGTGCAGGGTAAAGGATTTTATATGGACTTTGAAAACTAGTCAGATTCTCTCAGATATTGGTTCCTTACACTGCTTTCCTCAATAAAATGAGTAGGCTACTATGGGCTATATTAAAAAATATTTACAACAATTTTATGTTTGTTGGTAATATGTATTTGATATATCTTTATTCAGATTCCATCTAAACCAGCAGAAAAACAGAAGAATCCTCAAGTATACTTTGATATAAATGTTGGTAAACAAGAAATTGGTAGAATTATAATGATGTTGAGACCTGACATTGTACCAAAGACTGCAGAAAACTTTAGGGCATTGTGCACCCATGAAAAGGGGTTTGGTTATCAAGGGAGCAGTTTCCACAGAATTATACCAGATTTTGTATCCTTTATATGTTTAGATGAAATATACTTTACTATAGTCCATAAGGCTGAGAATCTATTGCAAAATATAGCTTTTTACATGTAAATTAAAGGCAAGATAAAATTTTAATTTTGAATTATATTTAACTAATTTTATTATATATACTGACGACTCACCACAAACATATCTATCCCACAAAAACTGTACATTTTCCCGGGATAAAAAGTAGCCTATGTGCTATTCCAGACTATATCTCTGTGTCAAATTTCATCCAGATACATTCAGCCGTTCTGGTGTGATTGAGTAACAAACATCCATACATACTCACAAACTTTTACATTTATCATATTATAATATGGATAATAAATAGGATTATTGTATATTATTATGGGATTACTTTAACTTTTCTACTATAAATAATTCCTTAGCAATAACCAGATGTGTCAAGGTGGTGACTTCACTAATAATAATGGTACAGGAGGGAAATCAATATATGGCAGAAAGTTTGAAGATGAAAACTTTACATTGAAGCATACTGGCCCTGGTATTCTAAGTATGGCCAATTCTGGACCTAATACGAATGGATCTCAATTCTTCTTATGTACAGCCAAGTAAGTTATATTTTATTACCTATTCAATGTCCTTGCTTTACTTTACTACTTGAGAGGTTTTAAAATTAGGGTCTTCTTTGTTTTTTCTTTATTTTTAATATGTATATATTTAAAGTTATATATGTGTAGTGTATCAACTGTCTGGTATCCATAACACAAGCCTCGTAGCTTACCATGGAACTAGATGGTGCTGTTTGTTAATGTCCCAACATATTTATTATTTATTTATTATTCTTTATGTTCTAGTTATAGACATAGAGAATAGATTGAGCAATTTTGTCATGAAATTGACCACTCTCTAGAAAGAGAGAACGCGAGCATGCGGCTAATACCCGTCTTTTATTCCAATTTGAATTTATAAATGGAATGTAAAAAAATATATAATAGAACAGTATTATATTATAATGAAATGTAAAATGATTATAAATATCTATCTTCATTAATTGTATTTCAATTATTACAGAAGACTTCTGTTTGCACATTCGTTTCGTTTTCGTTTTTGTCTCTGTCGCACCTTTCCGCCATTTTCAGCTGACGGCTGGCAAAGAAACAGTCCACTCTCTATGTCTATGGTTCTTATTCCCACACCAGGTCTTATTTAAATGGATAAAGCCATTTTTTTTCTATTTTTTCACTTGTTTCGTCCACTGCTTCTTTTAGAAGTTCTTTTTTACCCTTGATTAAATTCTCTGGAGATATAGTGAGTACAAACAAACAGACAATATTTTAATGTTTGTTTGAAATGACCATGATATGAAGCTCACTATGGAGTGTAATAGCTATTTTAATCTCAAATATATTTTAATTTTACTTATATCGCTACTAATAAACGAAAGGGCCACAAATCAAAATTGTGCTAAACCACTTTTAATTAAAAAATATGGCTTAAATGCCGGTAGTCTCATAGTTTCACAAAGACACCCGTCAAAATCGGTCTCTTAATGACATTATGTGCATTAATAATAATAATAATAAATATGTTAAGACATTATCACCCAGCGCCATCTAGTTCCATGCTAAACAACGAGGCTTGTGTTATGGATACCAGATAGTTGATACACTTCACATATTATAACTTTAAATACATACATATTATAAACTAGCAGAACCCGCGGCTTTGCTCGCTCTAAAACTACAAACATTCATATTCATACAAACTTTCATCACCTATTTTACCCCCCTTATAGAATGAATTTCGAAAAATGCTGAAACACGTATTCATTTAATTTTATTGAAGAGCATTTATACTAAGTTTCAAGTAATTCGGATCATAAATATTTTTTGCATTGTATTATGTAGTGTTTTCCCGTGAAAATCATCAAATGGAAGGATCAAAAAGTAGCCTATGTCACTGTCCAGCCCTCCAACTATCTCCATTCAAAAAATTACGCCAATCCGTCACTCCGTTTCGACGTGAAAGAAAGACAAACAAACAAACAACACAAACACACTCACATTTATAATATTAGTATGGACTATGGATATGCAATGTGTAGGTGAAACTTCTATAGGCTTTAAATTTTGCAGCTGTGTCCTTAAAATATTTGAGATTTGTTGGAGTTTTGCCAACTTTTGTGTTGTACGAACAGTTATTGTTGCTTTAGTCTTTTTTTCAGCTTAGATTCGTGGTTTTATTTTATAAAGAAGTTTTTATTGTTTTATTGTTAAATATATCATGGTGTTTATATTTATAATATGTATGTATTTAAAGTTAAATACGTGTAGTGTATCAACTGTCTGGTATCCATAACACAGGACTCGTAGCTAACCATGGAACTAGATGGTGCTGTGTGTTAATGTACCAACATATTTATTTAACATAAACAAATATTACAAATCTGTTTGTAAACTTTGAAGATGTATTTTAGTATTTCCTTTCTCTACTTTTTATTCCATAGAAATATCATGGGACGGATTATGACTCTTATTTTCAATAGGTAATTTGAGTTTTGTACAAAAGTTTCAGATTTTATCTAGTACTTAGTGTTTTTCACTATATTTTTTTTAATTTTAATTATAAATCCACAATTTGGTAGAAACAATCCATATTAAATATTTTTAGGTAAAACACTTTCAATTGTATATTTTATTTAAATTCGACAATGTTTGATGAATAAAAAAATATTTTATTTATTATTTGCAGGACTGAGTGGTTAGATGGGAAACATGTTGTATTTGGTCACGTCATATCTGGCTTAGATGTTTTGAAAAAGATGGAGAGATATGGAAGCAAAAGCGGAACGCCGTCAGCCAAAGTTTTTATAAGCAACTGTGGAGAATTACAATGATTAATAACTTATACTTGTTTTATTTACAAAAATAACCGTATAAAAATTTGTAGATATTTTTATGTACATTAAACAAATACCATTAAAGCAGTAAAAGGCAGTGGTGGCCTAGTGATGACGCGCTTGGGAAACCGAGTGAAACTTGTTCAAATCCCGGGTCTTGCAAATCTGATATTTTCATGTGCGAATGATTTCTAACACGATTACCAATAATATATATACATATAATAAAATTGTAACAGCCGAATCTGTACATTAAATATTTTTTGGAAATATTATTGAAATAGTAATTATTATGGACACATAGGCCGAATCTATAGTTTTTAGAATTTTTGTCTGTCTGGGAACACATCACGAGAAAACCACTGGACAGATTTTGATGAAGTTTGGTATGATGATAGCTGATTTTCTGGATCAATATACCTATAGGATACTTTTACTGCTGCTTAAATATCTCATCTCTGAGAAATCTTAACTAACCATTAAAACGTTTCTAGAGTCGACCCAAGCGGAGCGAGGGTGTCGCTAGTATAATATAAAATGCTTGTACAAACATAATATGCAAAGAATATTTTTTTTTTCATGTTCAATAATTCATGTAAAATTAACTTTTATCTTTGTTCGAAGGCATCCTTGAATTGTGTGTTACAGGCTTTTATAGCGTTCCACGTCGTTTATACATAGTGTCAGAAACACCTGTTGGAAAATAAACCTCCCTTTAGGGTATTCTGTTCGCTTGCAAAATTAAATTACGAATTTGAAACTTCTCTGAGCATCCAAAGTTTTGGTAAATTATATCTAATATTATTTGTAAAATGGAAAACGATGAGGTGTCTTCCAGCTTCACTTAGGTACATAATGTAGGTATATCCTGAGTTACATCAAGTAACTCAAAGATATATTAAATTATCCTATAAAATGTAAGTAAATAAAATAAAGTGGTAATATGCTGCTAACTCATTTATGTTACAAATGTACATACATATAAAGTGAAATGAAATCTGTATAAATATTATACTAAATTATGAAAGTTTGTGAGTATGTATGGATGTTTGTTACTCTTTCACGCCAGAACGGCTATACGGATCTGGATGACATTTTGCACAGAGAGAGATTATAGTCTGGAATAACACATAGCCTTATAGGAGACTTTTTATCCCGGAAAAATATACGGTTCCCGAGGGATAGGTTTGTTATTGTAGCTTCATGTAAAAGCGAAATGTCACTCATCCAATGGCTGATTAAACACGAAACCTTGAAAACGACCGGATCTATGATACTGTTCGACATGCAGGTAGTTTATATATATGTAGCTAGGAGATGTTAGATTTTACTACAGGATCTAATTAAGGGGGTCTAAAGACTATCGTTTTATATGAAAGTCCTGAAAAGCTGCTAGATACACAAATATGAGTTATCCTGGTGACACGTAAATCTACGCGGGCGGAGCCACGGGCAAGTATAGATACTGTATAGTTATTATTTATAATTATTAAAAATGTTTCATTATATACGTATTTATTAGTTCGCAACATATTACTATGAATAGGATAGGATTTATGTAGAATCCACTGATTCATCAGTCAAATCGAATGCTGCACGCATGGTTTCCGGCGAACATATCTAACTGATTGCATCTACTTTTTCACGGGTTTTATTTGAATGGAAGTATTGAATTAATTATTATTAAACTTGAAATACAATATAGTATGTAATGTCGCAATTTTTTTATATATTTATATTTTCAACTACTCTTAGTTATGTCTGTATAGTTAGGAATCGTAGAGTTAATATCTTGATTAACTGAGTTCAAAAAGTGTATAAATTCATATTTGGCATATACTACTTACTAGGTATATATCTACAATTTATATCTTCGATTAACGCATAGGTTATTTTTATCGACAACCACGTAAGTGAATCCGCGTGTGATACATAATCCTACTAATATTATAAATTCGAAAGTTTTTGAGGATGTATGGATGTCTGGATGTATGGATGTTTGTTACTCTTCACTCAAAAACTACAGAATGGATTTTAATGAAACTTTACAATAATATAGTTCATACATCAGAAAAACACATAGGCTACTTTGTATCCCGGAAAAATGTACGGTTCCCGTGGGATAGTTTTGTTTTTATTTTCCTATAAGCGAACCCGAGCAAAGCGAGGATGAGCTGCTAGTAATAAATAAAAATATTTTCTTTTATTTCATTTCCAATCTTATTTGCAGTATAATTTTAATATTTAAGTGATAAGAGGTTTTTCGTATTATTAATTGGAAATTGTAATCGATATGAGCGGCGGAGTGTGAAGTGACATATTGGATTCCAGTAACTCACGCATCGAATGCATCAAGGTATTAATTTCATTTGGAGATTAATAATATGAGAAAAACTGTTATTGGAGGTCTTCATAAACGTAATTTATTTATTTATTTTATTAGGAGAACCAACAAAAGTTGCATTTATACATTCATGGTTACATTTACAAATCAAAGATAAATGTACTTTTTTAACAGGTTATCACATCATGCATTAAATTAATAACAAAATATCATTAGTTCCTAAAATATGTCATTAAATCAATATAAAGCAACTGGGCTACCGAGCTTCGCTCGGAGATTTTGGCCTAAAGTACAATTTTATTTTTTCTTTTTTTTAAAAACTAAAAACCTAAATAAATATTAAAAAAATAAAAGTAAAAACTTTGTATGTGATCGAAATTGGAAACTGGACACCTGTGAATGTTGATCTTGCACCTTGGCCGCTTGACCACGATGCTTACACCAGAATGTGCAAATTACAAACCATATTTTGCGTGGAATAATGCAAAAGAAAACTGCATGAAAACTTGGAACACGCGTTTTCCCAGACATAAGACTAATCTAGATCGATTTATCGCCCCCGAAACCCCCGTCATGAAAATCGTTGGAGCCGTTTCCGAGATTCAGATTATATATATATACATATATATATATATATATATATATATATATATATATATATACATACATACATGAATTGCTCGTTTAAAGATATAGGATATTATGTCGTATCAAGATTAAAAAAGTAAAAATCATAATAAATAAGATCAGTATCATAATAGATAAGTAATAGATTATAGAGCCCAAAACAATGATTTTTAGTTTTTTTTGTCTGTTTGTCTATGCGTTTGTGTAAGCTAATTATTTGGGTGTGGTTATCACTAATGTATAGTGGCTTCACTTAATACTTAGTATTTATTTTATTTCAATCGGCTCATAAATAAAAAGTTATGTGAAGTTAAAAAAATCACCGGTGGACGAACCCGAGTGAAGCGAGGGTGAGTCGCTAGTAAAATAATAAACTACAATTTTACCATAACTTAGAATCGAACTCGCAATAAACAAACGAAACAAAACTGTATATTTCTAAAAGTAGTTTTAGTGATAAAGCTTCTAAAGTTTTCTAATAACAGTATCGATATAAAGCCTACGCGAGTATATTTACGGCAATAAATAATAAGATTGTACGTAAAAATTAGTCAATTGCGATTTGGACTCACGCTCCGAGTTTTATATACACGATATGTTATTGTTACGTATTGACCAATAAAATAGGATCTTGTGTTAAATAGCGGTTATAACTCATACTCGGCTTTATTTATTACGGTTCAAAAGATAATAAATATATATGTTGTGACATGAAACTGCACCATGCTACCATCATAGTTCCATGGTAAGCTACGAGGCTTGTGTTATGGATACCAGATAGTTGATACACTAGACACATAACTTTAAATACATACATATTATACATATAAACGCCCTTGCGTATTCAAGTAAGACAAATATTCGTGCTCATCATACAAATGAATGCCCCCAGCGGGACTCGAACCCGCGACCACTGGCACAGCAAGTAGGGTCACGACAAACTGAGCCAAGCGTGTCGTCAAAAAAGACAGCTCTTTTAATGTAGGATGGGCAGACAAACGGACGATAATATGAATACTACAAAGTAATATATGTATGTGGTATGTTAATTGGATTTTTGCATAGATAAACTATGAAAAAAATACCTAAATAGTTGATTGGGGTCTATATTCGGTACAATACGTTACAGCCATTATTAATAAAAATATTACATGTACGTACAGATTTCGCTTTGTTATTTTGCTGTATTTAAAGATAACTTCTATGCTAAGTAATAACTCGCTGATGTAGTTTTTACCATAAATATTAAGAAGCGTAAAAATATTTACATTTATATACTATATTATAATATTATATAGAAGCAGAGTTTGTTTGAACGCGCTAATCTTAGGAACTACTAAGCTGATTTAAATATTTTTTTTTTGCATTAGATAGTCCGTTTGTTGAGGAAAGCTATATGCTATATATCATCATGCTACTACCCAAGGGAGCGTAGCGGTATTATAATATATAGTCTATCTATTAAATACTAACTGTTAAAACCCTACCTAGGGACGAATCAGAGCGAAGCGAGTGTGGTCCGCTAGTTATATAATATAATCCAGAATATTAGTTTTTATTCCTTTAATTTTTTTAACTCCGCTGGAATCCCAAATCGTGTATGGTGGTGGCTATGTTTCCAATGCTTCCCCTTTTTTTTTTTTTTTTTTTTTTTTTTTTAACGTTGGGAAATGCATTTACGCACGACGTGTGGGACTCACCGGCGTAATACAGCCAGTACTACCCACTAAAACCCAACAAAACCTTCCCCCGTCTTAATGGGGCGTCGCAGGATCGCTTACGCATTCAACTACGACGCCCCGACGGCAGGTCTGCCGAAGCAGACCACCACAACCATGGGGTTGCTCCACAGTCCACTCTGCTATCAGAGAAGTACCAGGAGCAACCCGCATGGTACACCGACCCCCGAAGAGGGCCACCTCCCACCGCCCACCGAAGTGGGCAACCTCCCTGTGCGTTTCTTAGCTTCGCTACTACTACTGAGCCCCCCCACCACGACAAGGTGAACGCACGTTGGGGGGGT